CCCGCTTATGCAAATGAAGCCCGGGAAATTCAAATCCCGGGCTTCATTTGCAAGTGCGGTATGCCTACATTACCCTCCCAGTTCGAACTAGAAGGGTAGTGTAGACATACCCTGGTGGATTTCGAATGTGGGCTCAGTTAGTGTCGCGCTGGCATCCTGCTCTGTTGCTGTTTCCCCACAAATCACACACGGACCTGCATCCAGCTGTGTTGTCCAACAGTTACAGCCCGTTGCCCATGGGGCTCTGTCCACGGTTCCTAGGTGAAAGATCAGGAAAAGGGCTCTGGAGCAGAGAGGGCAACAGATAGATGAGAAGTATTTGGAAAGCCCCCTTGGCTGACATACCCCAGGTAAAAGAGGCAGCACTCCACTCCCCCAAAGAATGGCTCCGAAGATAAACCTCAGCACCGCTCCCAAAGGCGGAAGCCAAATGCCGAAGTAGGAGGGAGGGGTTAGTGACAAGGTGAGTGCTGAGCGATGGATTCACTCGGTGAATCCCCCAGGTCTGATCAGCCGCGATTGTTAGGTTCTGCTGATTAGCAATATTCATCCCACACACTGATTTTGCAGATAGTTTCTTCCCTCGTCACTTCAATGCTGAGGATGAACTCAGCTGTGTCATGAGAATTTTTCTGTTTTTGTTAGAGGCTATGAGGAGACTTTTATTGGGGGAGCAGGGCCACATGAATCCCTTAGCTCTTACCAGCTGCATCAGAAAGGGGCAGGTGCAGCGTTCTGCTACCCCGGGCCATCCCATTAGAGTTGCATGCCTGTTTGTTTCCCCAGCTTATGTCCTGAGACGTTCCCCTCTGGGGCTGCTGGGATTCTTGCTTTCGTTGCAGATACTACGTGCAGGAACACGAAGGTCTGAAACTGGCCTGCGGTGCAGAGTGTAGGTGGGCCTGCAGACAGGGCTCCCCAGCAGCACGCAGATGGCAGATGGAAGACGAGGCATCCCTTGTGAAACTCATTCCCCACCAGTAGAGTCAGAAACTCTGGATCATTCAAAAAGTTTAAGACGGGTGCTGTTCTGGGGTTCGGTCCTGATGTGAACGCCGCAGTCCCTGTCTGAACAGCAGAGACATTGACTTGCATAGCTGTGGAGCTGCTCAGCTCCCAGGGAGACCACAGGGCTAGTTACAGTGCGAGACGCTCAGCACCTCTGAGACCTGCCGTTTGTATCTGGCTGAGCCACAAGTCCCTTTGACGGGAAAACCTAGAACGCGTGGCCCTGGACAAATGGTGTTTTTCATTTTGTCCTGAGGTGCCCTCTGTGTTTGGGCAGGAGACGCTGCATGGCAGAGCTGTAGCTAGACCTTTTACCCTCCAGGGCGAGCATGCAGGTTCATACTCCCTACCTGGGTTATTTGGGCATTTTTGCCTCTCTCCCCCCAAGCTTTGCACCATGGGCAGCTGCCCCACTCGCCCTGCTCTAGTCGTGGCCCTGCTGCAGTGGAAGGGCGGACGCAGTTGGCTTTTCTCATGGCAAATAAACATCAGCGCTCAAGACAGACTTGGGACAGTGAGTTCCCCGAATACGGTGCCACATCCGTTCCAAAGCTGAGGAAGAAGAGAAAGTAGATTGGCCCAGGCTCCACTCTGGCTCTGCTTAGGGAGGGGAGAGCAGCTTCCTCATGGCTTGTTTCAAAAAATACTTTCACGCAATCCTTTTTCTAATGACAAAATACTGAGTAGAGAGAACAGAAATGACCTGTAAATACGTGGCGTGCCAGTGCTCAGTGGGCTAACCCCCTTCTTGGGAGAAATCGGTGGTTACCTTGGTGATTAACTTGGCTCTGTGCCTTCTCCTGGTGGAGGTGAGACCATCCTGCTCGTGAGTTAGGTAACAGAGGAGGGGGCAAAAATACTCAGGTGGTGGAAGAGAATGGCAAGGCCAGCATTCAGCCTGCACAGCCCGCTGCAGCAGGTGCATGTTCAGGGAGTCACGGGGCTTTGGGATGTGCATTGTCATTTGGAGAAGCAGCTCCCCACATGGGTTTCCCCTTGCCCAGAACAGTGTAATACGTTGTACCCGCCACGCCAGGTCTGCTCTCTGTGACCCTGTTGTGCCTCTTGTTTCAGAACTCTGTATAGTGAACCCCTGACCCCTTCTTCAAACACCAGCTTGAGCCCCGTAGGCTCACCAATCAATGAGATCGCTTTTGAGAAACCCAGCCTTCCTTCAGCAGCAGATTGGTCAGAATTTCTGAGTGCATCCACCAGCGAAAGGGTAGAGAATGAGTTTGCACAGTTAACTCTGTCTGACCATGAGCAAAGGGAACTCTATGAAGCTGCCAAACTCGTCCAGACAGTGTTCAGGAAGTACAAGGTAAGTCATAGGAGCATCCCACCTGCTTTGCCTGGGGGTGTGGCAGTAGAATCGAAGGTATATGCAGCTGCGCTGGGCACCACCGGCAGCTGGAGAGACGGGGGAGTTTCCCCTTCAAAGTGCCGCTCTCTGGCCAGCAGCACGGCCACCCGCAGCTCCACCCGAATCCTTTGGCCTGTGCTCACATCACTTGCACCTCTCGCCTACTGCTCTGGTCTCCCTCCCTGCTCTGCTCCGTGGTTGCCAACATTCCCAGTCAGGACAGACCAGATGCCACTGCAGCAAATGGCATCTAGGCCGTTCAGTCCAGGAGAGTTAGCAGCCCCCTTCTCCTCCACAGAGCAGCCACTCCCCCCATGGGGCGGGCATGGGGTGCCAGTGGTGGGCTGCATAGGCACCAGCACTGGTCAAATCCATTCAGAATGAAACGTGGGCTTGATATTTTTTAGACAAAATAGTTTTCCCCATTTGTCTTGGGTAATCTGCTAATTCCTCCCGTGGCTCTCGTGTGCGGCTGAGATTGGTCTGTTGGGACGGCAAAGCCGGGGAGATGGGTCTGTGGTTTAGCATGTAACAGAGCTTTGTCTGCAAGACTACGGCAATCCACAGCACACACCAGTCCTGGCTCAGCTGCCTGCTTCATCCTCTCCTGCAAACTGCCCAGCTCACTGTTTGTGGATGAAGGAGACATGTTCCATCATCTTCATAAAGCGCTGACAGAGACCCCTGCTGGCTGTGTGGGAAGCAGTGGGCATGTTGGGGCTGCAGACCCGTTATTTCTCATCCTCCTTCGTGTTCTTCACTGCGCTTTGTGCTCGCTCACAGGGCCGTCCTCTCCGAGAACAGCAGGAAGTGGCTGCTGCTGTCATTCAGCGTTGCTACAGAAAATACAAACAGGTAAGCCCAGAATTGAGTTTCTGTGAGAAAATAGGCACCTGTGACTACTAGCAGCAGGTTCTGCATGTATTGGGAACTGGCCCAAAGTGTACTTTTCAATATGTAGTGATAGATATGCAGATTGTGTTATTGCTACACTCAAAAGGGAAGAAAAATCACATCCTAAATCTAATCTTGCAAGATGTTTCCTTGACCATTTTAATTTCTGAGTTTTTCTGTTTTGATACATAGTGTTATCAGATAGTGCTGCAACGTCATTCTCAACACACTGGTCCAAAACTGGAACCGCTGTGTGTGTACAGCTGCACATTTGGAGCACGGAACAAGCAGTATTTCATATGTTCCAGTCTATTACTATGTTATTATTCAGCAGCATGATTCAGCGCTTTCCCAATTTCCTTGTGACATTTCAGATGGTTTTGTTGTCTGCAGGAGAGGGAGAGAGTTCACGTGTCAAACGTTAAAATACAGAACAGTCACATTTCATGTGGTATCATTTGTCCCGGGACTGAGACCTTTCCATGCCCTTTAGTCTGGAGCCAAGTTGTAGGCAAAGTGCTCAGCCCCAGAAATCAGACTTTGTTTTAAATGGGAACAATGAGGAACCCATTAGCACCAGCTCAAACACACTTCTGCCCCCCAGCTCAGACACCTAGGGTATGTCTAGACTGCATCCCTTACCCCATGCCTAATTTGCATAAAAATGCCCGCCATGTTTTGCCGACTCCGCATTTTGTCGGCAAAAAGGGGCCATCTAGAGGGGGATCTGTCGAGAAAGAAAGCCTTTTTCGATAGATCCTGTAAAAGGGATCTGTCAAAAAAGGCTTTCTGAGTCGGCAAAAACGGTGGCCATTTTTATGCAAATTAAGCATGGGATATTTAAATCCCCACTTCATTTGCAATGTCGACCTGCCTAATCTGCATCCCTCTGCTGACAGAGGGACGCAGTCTAGGCATCCCCCAAGAAAGACCCTTACATCACATTCAGTTAGAAACAGTTATTTGGGAAAGCTAACTAGGGTTAGATCTCTGTAGAGTGACATTCTGGAGTGATGCTTCTCCTGATCCTAGTGTGAATTCCCTTTCAGAATTGCTCCAGAAAGTTTGTCTTGGGTCCTGGAGCCACTTTTTTCCCCCAAAGAAGATGGTTTGATCATAGCTTTTGTTGGTTTGTTTGTTTCTCAGTTCTTTATTTGCAGATCTCACATTAACCTTGTACTTTCTGTTTTCCCCCAAGCTTACTTGGATAGCCTTGAAGGTAATGCACCAACAAACACTACCTCAGAAACCATTCCCTGTGGGTTACAAACTTTCAGTATGAACTAGGAAAACCTGGTATTCACTGACAGTGTGCAGCAGTGAATGTGTGCGTAAATTAGACTGCTCTGTGGCAGACCCAAATCCCCATTGTAAGATGGAGACTGGAGCTGTTACCAGAAACACCACACACGCTACCAGAGAAGCATAATAAATATTTATAAAAATATTTATTGAGCAGTGATGGGCTGAGATGAGGGGACTATATCTGAGGCAACATTTTGCTCTACAGCTGTTCTTAGCATTTTCTTTATGAGCAACAAGCACCTTTACTGTCTGCAATGCTCTGGGTCATTAAACTAGCTTCCTTTCCCCTCTACTGAGGCTGGCTAATGTAACCGGCATCTTTTCTCAAGCAAAGTAAAGCCTGTTGTAGAAATCTACACAACGTAACGCAATAGTGAAGAGCAGTGTACAACTCCCATTTTCAATGCCTGGACCCGAGCCATTGATGTTTGGCTGGGTTCAGTGCAGGGACCTAACTGGTTAAGTGCTGAGTGAGGTGCTTTCTGCCCATGTTTAGCATCTCTCTTGCAGGAATGAGTCAGAAACAGAGTCCAGGCATGTCTCAGAAGGGACACGTATCCTAATAAAGCACAGAAAACCACTCCCCTTAATAATGATTAAAGGGGTACTCTCAAATTGTTTAGGCCCAACATTAGGTTTGGTTTACTACGAAGATTCTCTCAGAATCATTTGTATTATTAGAAATTATTTCATTCAAAATATTGCTCTCATTTGGTTGTAAATAGTATCGCTGTGTTGTATTCTGTCTTCGTTGCCTGAACAGTGTGAACTACAGATGTTATGAACATTTAAAAGCAAAATAGTTTTTAAATGATCTGTTTAAAAGGACATTTTATAATGGAGAGAAAAAATTTAAACCTGTTTACTTAGTACATTTGTCTGCATTTTGTGTCTTTTTATTATTGTCAGCTGGTTAGACATAGTCCCCTCTTGTTTGTGTCTGTCTTAACACAGCAACAGCTGTGTGTGTAGAAGAACCAGAGGCATTTATCTCGTGGCATTTGGCATCTTGTAATGGTGAATTTTGCTGTACACATTGGCTACGTCTAGACTAGCATGATTTTCCGGAAATGCTTTTAACGGAAAAGTTTTCCGTTAAAAGCATTTTCAGAAAAGAGCGTCTAGATCGAAAAGTGTCCGTGGCCAATCTAGACGCGCTTTTGCGCAAAAAAGCCCCGATCGCCATTTTCGCGATCGGGGCTTTTTTTGAGGAAAACAAATCTCAGCTGTCTACACTGGCCCTTTTGCCCGAACGGGAGCAGCATAGTATTTCCGCAAAAAGCACTGATTTCTTACAGTAGGAAGTCAGTGCTTTTGCGGAAATTCAAGCGGCCAGTGTAGACAGCTGGCAAGTTTTTCTGGAAAAGCGGCTGATTTTCCGGAAAAACTGGCCAGTCTAGACACAGCCATTAAGGATAAATGCCAGTCCCTCTGCAGTTGGTTTACTTTTGTACTAAAATGTATGTGCACTAGACAGAGAAGTATCTACTACAGTAGACTGAAGTCAAGATCAGTACAGGTATTCATGACTCAAAAGTGAAAACACCTGGGCTGTGTCTACATTAGTGCTTACACCATTGGTACCAACTGGAAATATAAACAAACACCCTCAGTACAACTGCGTCCTCACCGGCAGATGCATCCTAGAGGTGCTAACTTTCCTAGTGTAGACCAGACCCTAGAACTGCACTCGTTTGTCAGGGGCCATGATTCAGACAGTTCCCCGTCAGTGAGGAGACCTCTACTCTCCAAGGGAAAGCATCTTCCCCCTTCCCGTTCCAGTGGCGCAAGGGTTTGGAACACCTGCTTCCTGCTGGACTGACGCAGCCTGTCCTTGTCTCTCTTGCAGTATGCACTTTATAAAAAGATGACACAAGCTGCCATCCTCATCCAGAGCAAATTCAGAAGCTATTATGAACAGAAAAAATTCCAGCAGAGCCGACGAGCCGCAGTGCTGATCCAGCAGTACTACCGCAGCTACAAAGAATGTGGGAAGAGGAGACAAAACCGAAGAGCAGCTGTCATTGTACAACAGAAACTTAGGTGGGTCTGTGGTAAAAGGCTGAAAATTGACTCTTGCAGGAAAGAGAGGAGGGGAGCTGAGCTAGCAGGTAGAGGAAATGGAGGCTCCTGGACCAACTGAGCCGTCTTCAAAGACCTGGCGTTCAGGAACAACCCAGATAGTCTTCTCTTAGTTATTCCCATTGATGCAGCTTGTGACTCATGGACAATGGCATAAAACAAGTGAGAAGCCCAAAGCAAAAAATAAATAAAACTGATTAACTGGTGCTGCTTTTGAAAGAGATCCCCACAGCACAGCTTGCTAAGGGAGCACTGTAGCATGTGTGCTAGCTCTGCTGGCTTGGAGGTTCCTCCATAATCTGTTACAGAACAAACCATTCCCTTAGTTTATTCTCTCATCTTGGAGTGCAAATGGGCTCATACGAAAAGCAAGTGAATAAGCATCCTAGGGACTCATGACAGCATCACAAGCGATGCATAAAAATCTGTTTTAAAATTCAGGAGATGATCCACAACTCTAAGGAGCAGGTAAGTGACTGTAAATGCTACTCGTAAGAATCATACTCTCCATCTATACCCGGATGGGCAGTCATTTTCACAGGGAGGCCACTTACTTTTGGTACATGGTCATGGGCCAGCTCCACTCCCGGAAGGGGCGGGGTTTGGGACTAGCCTCCTCCCAGACTTGTCTAGGCCGGAGGCTTTGTAGTACAAACAAAGCAAAGGGCTTGCGGCTCCCAGCTCTGCTGCTGTGTAGCCTGGCAGCCGCCTGGAGGTGCTGCAGCTATTTAAAAGGCTCATGGTTCCAGCCCCTGGTGGGGTAGCGCCCCAGTCAAGAGCCATGAGCCATTTAAACAGGATCCTTCTGCCTGAGCCACCGCCTGGAAATTTGGTGGCATGGGCAGCTGGATATAGATAGAAAGTGGCCAGATGCAGTCCGTGGGCCGGATCGAAGTGTGAGGCAGGCTGGATCTGGACCCCAGGACGCATCTTGCCCGGCTCTGATTTACACAAATGGGACGAGGCAGAAGGAAATGTAATAGAGGTAGCTTGTCAGATTCTTAAGAGCGTCTGCTGTTTGCGTGGTGTTAGCTATCACAGCTCTGGGCAGCGCCATGTTTTACAAGGAAGCCAGGTGAGAAAAACACAGGACATACGTCAGGATGATCTCCCATCTAGTACCCTTGGTTTCTCCGCAGTGCTGCCTGTGCTCTGACGTTCCCTTCCTTGTGTTTAGGAGCAGTCTGCTCACCAAGAAACAGGATCAAGCTGCTCGCAAGATCATGCGGTTTTTACGACGCTGCCGCCACAGGTAAGACATCATTTTTATAGAGATGTTCCTTCTCCATCAGTCCATCCCCAGAGCATTCCAAAGGGTGCAGTGTAAGAACCTGAATAGAACCACTGCAAATCATTCCCGTCACCCAGTGACAAAGCCCAGCTGCTTACGAAGAACATGGGGGTGGGAATTCCAGAGTGGGATTGTCACAGAGACCAATCAGCTGCAGTGTGGAAATGGTAAAAGCAGCCAAGGCTTGATGAGAGGGGGCTGAACAGAGCCCTTCCTTTACTGAAGTTGGGCTTGAGAAGCCCGGAGGAGAGTTCAGTGGAATGATGGATTGTTTTTCAGAGCATAGGCTAAATCCAAATTGCTCCAGGGTTTTCAGTGCACTTAGCCTCATAGTGCAACGTGCCACAGCATCCTCTATCCTGGGAACATCTCTGCTTAAGACACGGGTATCCATTTAGTGGAGTCACAATGGGGATGAGTCTGGTTTTAAACTAGATAAGATGAGCCCCACAGCCCTCTAAGGCAAACACGCCATTGTGAGTGTCAGCCAGGCCACAAGTCTAAATAAGCATTAAACTGGAGTATAAATACACAAGGCATCATGAGTCTCCTAAGAGTCCCAGGATCTCAGGACAACACTGATTCAACTGTTTGCTTTCAGCGTGTGGCAGCTGGGACTCCCGTCACAATGCTTGGCTGTAGTTAGGTTGCCTTCGTTAGTTAACGAACGCATCCTGTTTGATTACTTGTTCTGGCTGCCAAGTTAGAGTAAAGGAAATTAATTCAGCTCTTTTTGCATCTGCCGCCTCCACAGTCCCCTCACGCTTGTCTAGTCCGGTCAGAGAAGTGACACACTTGGAAGCTGTCAGACCAAAGTAGGTTTAGTTCGGGCCACTGCTGGTTCAGCAAACTAAGCTGGGAAATGGATGGACGCTTGTGGCAGTACAAGGTTTTGGAAATGCTCCTCTTGGAATGAGGTCAGAGGTGCAGACTGCGATGGCCCCCGCAGTGGGCAGATGCACATGGCAAGCAGCAGATGCAGCCCACGAGAGGGGCTGCTCTTGGTTTCTAAACCAGTGTTCTGAGTGGTGGCAGCATTTTGTCACAGCATGGCTGGCTTGTACCCTCACTGCCACAGGGCAGCCAGAAGGGAACTCACCGATTCACCTGATCATTCTGCAGCAGCCTCCCCCCATGGAACAGCGCCAGGAGCCAGAATCTGTAGCTCCCCTCACATCTCCTGGAAGGCAGGGCAGGCCACACTGAATCGGGGTCCTCTTCCCCGTGGCCAGTGGGGCAGAGCTGCCGGGGCTCTTGTGTTTGGTTGACGTGGACACCCTCTAAACACACTGCACATAGAAAAGGCTCCCCTAAAATTAGCCAGAGCGCGGAATCTCCCACCAGGGAGCCACCTGGGACTACATCACGATTCTCGGGGTTTTCAATGGACCAGTCTTTCTGGGCCTCTCAGTGGTGCATCTCTGGCTGCTTCTCCTGTGCTTGAGCCTTCTGCCAGCCTCTCCTCCGCGGGCGTTTCCTTCAAGGGGGCTCCGCATGCTCATCCATGCTGCAGGCCTCTCCTATGCCTCTGGCTCAGTCCCTGGCAGTGCTGAGAGGTGGGGTCACGATAGCTGGGTAGCAACAGGAGTCAAGTCTTAGTTGCTTCTAACAGGAAAAAACCCAGTGAGGGGAGGGGAATTGACTGTCAGCCAGAGCATAAGTCTCTTCCTGCCCCAGGCACTTTGGCTGCAGCTTACTACTCTGATCCATGTGCTATCTTGAGAGCAATCCCTTCAGCGAGCTAATGCCCTGCTGCTTCGCAGTAGACAGCAGGGTAGTTTGGGCTAAATTCCTAATTCTTGGCTGGAACTACAAAGACATTCTTGACTCTTTCCAAGGAAGAGCTGATATTTTCCGAATGACCAAGTTTACCCTTCTGAACTTAAAATCTGCCCATGCCCTTTGTGTGCTGCGCATGCGTTTCTACCTGAGAATGTGCACGTGCTTTATTTGAGCAATTGCAAAGGTTTGCTGCTGCTATTTCTTTATGACAAATACCATTTCCAAAAGGGTTTTGCCTTGAAACATGCTGGCATTGTGGAAAATTACAAACAAAAGTTTCAAATCCTTATTACTCAATGAAGCAGCATAAGGATTCCACGCAGAAACCCCGCTCTGAAAAGGACATCCAAAGAACGGCACAGTGGGAATGTTGGGTATTTTTGTGTTGAATTCAGGAATGTACCAGATTTATTAGTCGCATTCTTGGAGTACGTTGGATTTGATTCCCTTAGACACGTAAAAGTGAGCACACCACAAAGAGAAGGTTCCTAACTCCCGGGACTGTCGCAGGGGATGAGCCAGCACATGCTCAAGTCTAAACTTTACTTACTGCTCTGGATGTTCTGGGTGGCACTGTGGGAGATGTGACTAATGACACCTGGGGCTCTAAAATGGCATGACGGAGCTGCTCCTTTCATCTCTATGAATGCCTTGCAGATAAAGAAGAGTGATAGGAACAGGGAGAGAGTGCAGTGCAGGAAGGTGAGGCTCTTAGACATAGACCCATCAGCTAATAGAGAGCAGGGAAAAGAGCCAGGTCTTGGCATGGAGTCACCAAACTGAGTGTCAAGTCAGTGAACTCTGCAGCTGCAGAAGACTTTTCAACCTATAACTTGTGAATGAACATCTAATGCTGCATTTTAAAACACTTGCTTTAACCTTGTTCTGTTGGCTACCTTTCAGTGTTGGAACTGGAGCCTGAAAATCTTGCGAAGGGATTACTCTGTTCTCTTTATGCAAGATTTGATTAAGTGTTTTCCTTAGGCTTGCTCCTGGTAACCATCTGACTCTATTTTATCTGTTTAAGTAAAATACAAAAAGTCCCTTTCTGTCCAGACCCAAAGCAGCTCTAAGGCACCTCCTTGTTTTATTCGATCTACTCATGGGGTCAGATTTTCAGCAGAAGATGTGATCTAATGTGTTTAAGAACTATGCTAGTTTCCTATAGTCATGAATGTTCACTTACTGCACTTACTGTATGAGAGAACAGTTCAGATGCCATTGGATCAGTTCATGAGAGAGACTCAGTTCTTCGAGTGATTGCTCATGCCCACTCCATGTTAGGTGTGTGCTCACCACATGCACCAGTGCTGGAAGTTTTTCCCTCAGTGGTATCTGTAGGGGACTGGCTCTGACGTTTTCTGGGGTGGCACCCACCTGGCACGTTATAAGGAGCTGCCAGCCCCTTCGGCTCCTCTGGAGTGTTCTGCTGCCTTGTGCTAGCTGCGTTTGCTTCCTTCAGTTCACCAAACGTCTCTTGTGTATAGTTGAGAGTTAGCCCTTATTGCAAGATGATCCTGGACCAGACTCTGCCTGGGGGGGGCATGCGTCAAGCCCTGCGATCACTGAAAGCGCTCCATGCCCATCAGTGATGCCAAAGGACACATCAGGACAAGGGTTGCATTTGCAGATTGTTCAAATCCCAGATGAAAAGAGAGAGATTCCTCCTGATGGGGCGAATGCCAACTCCGGCATTGGAGCAGAAGTCCAGCTCTGCCCCCAGCTCTGCAGCATCAATGCGGAGTGCCTATCAGTGCCATTGTCACGCCCGCATCCATCCCCCATCCAGGCCCTTTGAAGAAGTCCAAGAGACAGACGAGGACCGGAGGACAGCCAAGCCCTGTGCTGGGCAGATCAGCTCCTCCAGCCGGGAGTCAGACTCCGGCTCAAGCCGAGCAGTCCAGCCCATCTCAAACTGCGCCTGTCTCACCAGACAGCGTTGAGCGCCTGGCAGGTTCCTGTCGACGCCCGAGGTTGTGCAGGAGATCTTGACGCTCACTCCGTCCTAAGGGAAATCAGCCTTTCTGCAGGTCCCCATCTCAGTGGCCCCATTCCCACCATGAGGGACATCCCACCAGCCTTCCCCTGCTCAGGGCCACCATGGCTCAGGCAAGCTCGGGAAAGCCCCTTCTGGTCTCTGGACCTTGGGGTGCCAGCAGCAGAAGTCCAGGCACAGCTCGCTGGTTACCTGGAGCAGACCCATGGAGGCATGCCCCTGCCTGCAGAAGCATCAGCACCGGCCCCTCATCTCTCCCACACCTTTGGGCTCCGGCAAGCAAGGCCACCGATCGCACATCGACAGCCGTAACCGAGACCCCCTCCCCTCCAGGGGAGGCACAGAGGGCCGGAGCACTGTTGCCGATCTGCTGAGCACTGGTGGTCCTGGAGCCCCTCTGCTGGGCATTTGTCCCGTTCTAGCCGTTCGTTGGAGAGACCCAGTGGACAGCACCAAAGGGGTCACCACTCCGCCTGCTCCCACTCGTCCCGAAGTGCCCACTCCGTGTCCGATTCTGGCACCGGCAGCAGCCGTTGACAGCAGGTCACGTCCCAGCCTTGGCAGCACCGCCTGTCTTGTCGGTACCGCAACCACCCCTGGGGCTTCAAGGCCAATAGCCACCAGACTGGTGCCCAGAGAGCCCATGCAGCCATCTCAGCTCAGCTGTTAGGTAGCAGGAGCTTCAGAGAGGGCCTCAGCCATAGCATTGCAGCCTCCTATGGAAGTGGAGGCTCCAGAGGAATTCCCTCCCCAGGCCCAGCAGACCCTGGGGAGCTGCCAGCAGGACTCTCAGGCGTCATTGAGGAATCGGCAATACAGGCTCATTACCAGATGGAGCCATCACTGCTCCCCCTCATCCAGGTCCAAGGGGTGAGGGCAGGGCTTATCAGGAGCTGTTCAAGAAGGTTGCCTCCAATCTGGGGCTCCAAGCAGAAGAGCTTGAGAAGCCATCTGCCTCATTCTTGGACATTCTGTGCACCACTTCACCCGCTTGGGTGGTGTTGCCCCGACATGAGGGGGCGTCAAAGATTATTACTGCCCTGTGCAAATCCCCTCCGCCATGCCCCCCACTTATAAGCCTTCTGAACATAAATACTTTGGACTAGCCATCAGTCAAGGGTACTTCTTACAACCACCCAGCCCTGAACTCCTTTGTTGTAGAGGCAGGTAGCCAAAGAGCAAG